GCACCCGTCCAACCTGCTGCAGCACCGGCGCGTGCACCGCGACACCTGAGCCCCTCAGGTGAGGGGAGCCAGCACCTGTGAGCCAGGACGGGTGTGGAGCCCCCCAAAATTGTGGTTTTGACCCCAAAAAACGGTAGCTGTGACACCTGGACTGCAACACCTGAGCCCCAGGTGAGGGGAGGATTCGATATCTGTGAGCCAGGACAGGTGTGGATCCCAAAATTGTGTTTTTGACCCCCAAAAACAGCATCTGTGACACCTGGACTGCAACACCTGAGCCCCAGGTGAAGGGAGCCAGCACCTGTGAGCCAGGCCAGGTGTGGAGCCCAAAAATCTGCAGCACCTGCAGCTGGAACACCTGGAGCACCTGGTGGATGAAGCTTCAGGTGGAGGATTCAGCACCTGTGAGCCAGGACAGGTGTGGAGCCCCCCAAAATCACCTGTGGACCCCAAAAAGCTGCAGCAGCAACACCTGAACTGCAACACCTGAGCTCCAGGTGAGAGAACCTGAGCCAGGTGTGAACCCCAAACTGTAACACCCAGACTGCAACACCTGAGCTCCAGGTGAGAGAACCTGAGCCAGGTGTGAACCCCAAACTGTAACAGCCGGACTGTAACACCTGAACTCCAGGTGTGAACCCCGAACTGCAACGCCCGGACTGCAACACCTGAGCTCCAGGTGTGAACCCCAAACTGCCACACCTGAACTCCAGGTGTGGACCCTGAACTGCAGCACCTGAACTCCAGGTGTGAACCCCAAACTGCAGCACCTTGGCTCCAGGTGAGGCCCCGACGTGGTCTCACCTGAGTTGTGACGTCACCGACAGTGGATGAAGAACTGGGAGACCCCCGGGGTTCACCTGCGGCCAGGTGTGACCCCAGACCTGCCAGGACTCACCTGAGCCCTCACCTGAGCTCGGGATGGATTTTTGGGGTGCTCCAGGTGCACACCTGGGTTGGGCGGGGCCTTCTCAGTACCTGGGTTTGTCCCCTTGGATGATGGTGAGCACACCTGGGGGTCACCTGATCACACCTGGGGCTCACCTGAACTCACCTGGGGCTCACCTGGGCTCACCTGGAGCTCACCTGAGCACACCTGGGCTCACCTGGAGCTCACCTGAGCTCACCTGGGGCTCACCTGAGCACACCTGGGCTCACCTTGAGCTCACCTGGGGCTCACCTGAGCACACCTGGGCTCACCTGGAGCTCACCTGAGCTCACCTGGGGCTCACCTGGGGCTCACCTGAGCTCACCTGGGCTCACCTGAAGCTCACCTGGGCTCACCTGAGCACACCTGGGGCTCACCTGAGCTCACCTGGGCTCACCTGGGCTCACCTGGGCTCACCTGAGCTCACCTTTTTGGGCGGTACTTGTAGCGCTGGGGGGGGGAGGGGGCGGGGCACACCTGGATCGTTCATTAAA